ATTATAAAAAGGTCAACTCTTTATTTATTTATACTATATAAAAATATGTACAACTATGTTGCAAATTTTTTATTTTATTAAAGTTTGTTAATTAATTGCTACTTTTATTTGCTGTAAAACAAGAAGATCGTGTGATTGTGATGCAAAGTCGAAAGAATGGTTCGGCTTGCACTAATTTGTGGCGCGGTGTGCACAATAACCACAGGGGCACAGGCACATGTGGAAGCGCCTGGGCTGCCAACAATTGATCTAGAGATCGGAACAGTAACTTATGGGCAAATCACAGACATTTAATAGCTCAAATAACTCAGGCCGAGCGGCTGCTACCAGGAGGGCGACCGGGCCGCGAACGAACAGCGGCTCAGCCTCCGACTTCGACTCCAACTCCGAGTCCAACTCCAACTCAGACTCGAGTCCAACTGTGCCGAGCCCAGGGAACGCGCGCGCAATCAATCAATGCAATCTGTGTTATCATGAATAATTTCCTAGAGGGCATATTTGGGGCTGTAATTGTGAGTGAGTGTGGAGTGGAGTAGCCCTTTTGCTGTTGCCCGACTGCGCTCGTATGTTGCATCATTATCAGCTTCTTGCGATTTAATTACCAAGTCCAGAATGCGGGGTCTAGAAAAAATATTAACCCTCTAAGATAAACGCATAATGCCGTACTCCCGTCTGCGCCCGATCTGAATATCTGCAATACAATTCATAAACATAAACAGTGACTAGCATGTGAGGCACTCATGTGTGCTTCAGTGTGTGTATGTGTGTGTTTGTGTGTGTTTGTGTGCATGTGTGTGTAAGTGTTATCGATCGTGGTCAATGTTGTTGGAAACAACAAACGGCCCGGACTTAAGACCTGGTCAGATCCAGGCCCAGTCCAAGTCCAAGTGGAAGCCCTCGGGGCGCTCTCAGCAATTTTCATTGCTGCCGCTGCTGTTGCTGCTGCTGCGGCGACTGCTGCTGCTGCTGCTGTCGTGGCCATGGCTGTGGCTCTGACTTCAGCTTCGGGTTCGCCTGTGTCTGTGGCTCTGTATTCTGTGCTCTGATCGTTGTCGCGATCTGCTGCCTTGGCTGACTCTGGCTTTGACTTGCTCTGATTCGGCGTCCAAGCMAAGCCAAGCCAACAATGTCGACGTCGTCGTTGCTGAAAATATTTACAACACTGCATTCCTGCGCCGCAGTCATTCAAGAAGCCAAAGCCGAAGACAGAACCATAGCCAGAGACAGAGGCAGAGACAGAGGCAGCGGCAGAGCCAGAGCCAGAGCCGGAGCCGTGGACGCTGCTGAACTTGTTTTATGCCACTTTGGCTTATGTGTGTGCGGTTGAGCGAGTGCTCCTTCAACAAATGCTGCCCAAGCCGCCTGCCTCATAAATGCTGTAATAAGCCCACAACAACAACCACAACAGCAGCAATAACAAAAACAACAACAACAACAGCAGCAGCATTGAATGTGCGCTCGAAACATGTTTATGAAAAGAAAGAAATTCCATTGCAAACAAAAGAGGCAAAGCGAGCTGAACTGATCGGTGGGAGAGGCGCACACTGCGCATGCTCACATGTAATCCAACTCTCACACACTTACACAGATGCACATTTACATATCGACTTGTGCTCTTTAGCCTCTTTCTTCGACTGTTGCTGCTGTTTCAATGTATTTGTTGGCCCTGAGCGCACTGGCACAGGCTGGGCTCTTGCTCTCTCTCTCTCTCTCTGCCGCTCTCTTCGCAGTGGCTCTCTTCAAGCTTAGCCTGTGGGGATATTTATTATTGCTATGGTGAAATGTCTTGGCCATCGGAGCGGCCTGTTCGAACGTGTGACCAGTGCAAAAGTGGCACAGAATTTTCACCAGCCTATCTCCAACTGAAGGAGCCGCAGCTCTCGAAAGTAACTGCAACTCGAAAGCTGTGGATTTACTACGAATCTAGGCAGAGTAAAACGTATTTGAAATTAATTACATATAAATTAAAACTAGAGAGCTTTATGCTTGTCAAATTTTGCGCCAAAAAAAGTGTAAATATGTATATAAATATATTTATGCATATGGATATAAGCAAAGCAGAGAAGGTTCCACAAATTACTCTAACAAAACCTCATATATGCGGTAATAGCGTGTAAATGCCAATATAGACAATATTCGGATATGTATGATAATATTACCTTTCATTATTTACATTTTAAATATAGCCATAATGTCTACTGCTCAATATCTCTTTTCTAAAAACATTGATCACATTTAAATGGGAGCTTAAGTTATACCAGGTTTGTCACGCAAACATCGAGTCGAAGAATTGGTTCCATATCAGTTGTAAAGGAAAATAATATTACACGATATATGACGAATATTATTAACGAAAAAATGGGGTTTTAAGTCCAGTAAAATCTGGCATCATAAATAGTTTTGCTATCGACCAGAACAATACGAACATGGCAAATCATCTACAGGCCTGTTTCATAATTGCCAGTACGTGGAAATTCGAACATAATAACAGAAATTAATTAATTTTTTTGCAGTTTTCCTCCTGTCACATTTTCCGAATAACCAAGGGCTCAGCCTAGACCCAGTCAAGAAAAAGATATATGACACATTAATAGCAGCGGGCGAAATAATCGAAGCACTTGGTCTTGCGGGAAACAATGCAACCGAATACTATAAGAAACTTAACGCAACACAATTGAATATCATTAGCATGGCTGAAACTTTTGCGAATAGCCTTGGGCGCTGAATCGGATCGAAATTCGTTCAATTAATCAAAATTGATTTAAGTTGATGGATTCGAAGAAATTAAAAGAAAATAGAGTTTGCAATAATTTCTGACTATGAAAATATTAATTGATATAAACATTTATAAAATGTTCACATTAGACAGAAGCTACCCATGTACCCATGATATCTAGGGCTTCATATCTCTAACATCTACGGTGTCCTTAATCATTACCAGAAAGAAAATTCATTTATATTGTATAATAAAGTTTTTATAGGATATACTAGTCAGTACATTTTTAATGAAAACGTCGATGTCGATGTCAATGTCCAAAAAAAAAATCAAAATCAAGCATGGATGTTGGATTGATACATCGGCTTGAATATAAAAAAAAACGATGTATGACCGATGATTTAAACCTTTCCCGTTTGATGCTCAAAAGTATAGTTCATGTTGTTTTAACGTGTTTACTGCTGCTTTCATAGCGTTATGATAAAAAAAAAAACAAAAAGTATACTAAAGTATATCCAATACTATTTTTTTATTGAGTCATATAATTGGTTCCAGTACACCTGCAAATTAAATTAAAAATAATTAATATAACACGATATATGGTAAATTTGATTAACGAATAACTGAATAAAGTCCAGTAAGATCTGACATCAGAATAAGTTTTGCTACCGACCAGATCATTACAAACATGGCGCATCATCTGCAGACCTATTTCATGATTGCCAGTGCGTGGAATCTTTAGAAATACTGAAAAAAATTCGAATAACAGAAATACACTCGTTTTATTTGCAGTTCTGCTTCTGTTACATTTTCCGAATAGCCCAGGCTCCATTATAAACTCAATCAAAAATAAGATATTTGACGGTGTAATATACGGGGGTGAAAAGATCGAAGCGATTGGTAGTGTGGCAGAGACTGCTGGTAATTACCTGCAAAATCTTAGCGGAACAGGCATAAAGCAAACGGTGGGTAGTGTGCTTGGACGCTAAATCAAACCAAACCATAAATACAAATAAAAAATAGAGCAATCATTTCTGGTCTTGAAATTATTCCTTAATTTAAGTATTTATAAAATTTTCACATCAGACAGAAGCTAGGGAAAGAGGTGGTCGGGATTTACTGGACTAGAAAATATTGTTCGTTTCGGTATCTAACACGGTATATAACACTCTATAGAAAATCGATGAAAACGTAAATTATACAAATTCCATATAGTACTTTCATAACTTTGCGAGTAAGTATTAAAAGGCGGAACGACTTCACACAAATTGAATTCAATATTTTTTTACTTACTTTACTACTTTACTACTAAAATTAAAACAAATAAAAGAAGTTAATTTTTTGATTGTTTCATAATCATTTACTATTAAACTCCTCCTGCTCATTTATTATTTAACTCCTCCTTAAAACAAAGAAATACATATAAATATTTTAATAAATATATATTTTATGTAACTAAAATTATTTTTAAATTGTTTTTATTTATTTATGCTTTATTCATTATTTTTCAAGCACTTCGATGCCGCAGGTTTGTTGTCTAAGTCTTTCCTTTTTGCTGGCAACGCCGACCCGTAAAGAGTCGCAGTCGGCAGAGAAGAGTAGACAGAGAGAGAGTCAATGAGCACAGAGCACGCGGAGCAGTGACTCACAACCGCAGCTCACAGAGGGTCGGTCACTGTGCGACGAGCCGCATGCTCAGTTGCCATTTACCTGTTGCCGAGCGCTGTAATTCGTGCAGTGTCGTTGCGGATGAAACTGAATCTTGAGGCGCCGCATTACGTTGCGTGCCTGCCTGCGCGTGTGTGTGAGTGAGCGAGCAAGTGAGATAGTGAGCCAAGTGAGCGCGAGTGTGTATAGTGCGTCCGTGTAGTGGTTGCTGGTGCTATGCTCAAAGCAAAGGCAGCAAAAAGATAACATAAAGCAAAGTAAAAGAGCCACAGTGAAAGATCAGCGCACACATACATACGTGCGCGCACACACGCACACACACACATACACACAATACCAACTTGCTTGCAATAAAAATAAAGTAGAGAAAAGTTGTGTGAAATGGAATAGCAAAAGGAAATTAAAACGCAAACACATATGTATGTATGTACATATGCGTATATATGTATATATATTTAAAACGGAATTTAATGAAGCAAAAACTGCCAAATAATGAGAAGCTGTGCGATGCATAAATGAAAACTAAACGAGTGACGTGTATAAAAAAGGTAGCAACTGCTATTTATTAAATTGCAATTCCAATTCAGGTTTTCTCTCTTACTCTCTCTCCCTCCCTGTCTATCTTTCTGTCCGTGTCTCTTTCTCTCTTGTTTTTGTGTGGCTTCAGTTAACGCAAAATTGAAAATAACAAAAAAAAAAAAAGTATTTGGCTTTTTTTATGGTGCTAGAACGTAAGATTCTCAAGGAATAATTGCAGCTCCACGGATATCCTAGACAGACGTTAACTTGGTAAATTATTGCACATCTTTCCTGCCCCTGAAGAGACTTGACTGCGACTCTGCACTGGCCCAAACCAGTTGCAAAGTTGTCACATTAAAATCACACCTTCAAAGAAATATTTGTTGTTGTTTTTTTTTTAAATATATTTTGTTTGTGTGTTTGCGGCTGTTGTGGTTTCTATATATGCACCACTTTGGCCATAACTCGTTCGCGCTCTCACAGATACACACACACACGCACACACACATACAGATACACCCTCTCTGGCTGCCTGGCAATTTCGCATGCAAATTATACGTAAAGGAAGTCAGACAGCCTCAGTGCTTGCTGCTGCTGCTGCTGCAGCAACTGGTTGATCTGCATAGACGCCCATTATAAGTAACAGGCTGCATGCAGCGTGGTGTAGTTGTTGTTGTTGTTATTTTTGTATTTTTTGCTTTCATAACTGGTACACCGACACACACACACACACATCTAGCTCTGTTTGCAATGAGCGAAAAAGTTATAAACATTAACGCAGCCACCAATGCTAGTTAGTTTCTCATTACTGGCCCTGGCAACGGATATGATAATTGGCATTTAATTTAATTTTATAATACTCATTTGCAATGCGAGCAGTCGCAGCAAACATCAATTACAGCCCAATCGGCGGCGCAGTGTGACTTTCTGTCTATCTGTCTAGCTGTCTGACTATCTGTTCCCTTTCTGGGAATAAAACCACTCGAATACATAAAATTATCTAGCTTTAACTATGCATATGTGTGTCTATAGCTATATGTGTATGTATGGATATATATGTATTTGTTCACCCCATGCTGTTCCATCTGTGTGCCAAATGTTTTCTTGGTTTTGTGTCTGTTATTTGAATGCCTGGCAGGCATCCGCTATGTTGTGCCAGCCAACGCGGAAAGCATATGGTTTTTATGTTGTATTTTATCTTGCCACGAAAGGTTAAATGTTAATAAATTGTTAATTTGATATCTGTCAGAGATTTGACATAACATTATGACATTTGAGCAAAGCACTTTCCTTGCCAGGCAAGTGACGGCCGCTGCAGCTTTCCAAATGTCCATGGCTAAACAAAAGACTCAAACGACAAACTTGAACGTCTCTCAAAATATAAAAAAAAAAGAAACAAATATCATAGGCCTTAGTTTCAGCCCGCCTGGCACAGCCATTTAATGCATTTAACCACAATTTAAAGTATTTTTATAAAAAATGTCAACATATGCGCATTGCAATGACAAGCCAGCCGCAGTCGGCCGAGCCAGGCCAACATTGCCCGTTCGTCCGTTCCAGTCCAGTCAGCCATGGCCCGCAGCCTCAATCAAGGCGCCCCTTTCCACAGCTGCCCCCTCGAGCCTCAGATATCAAAAACCAAAAAGCTTTCAAACCAAAAGCAGCCGACAACATCGTCAACGACGCCGTCGCAGACATGGAAAAGCCGCGCGTCGATTTCATGAGATTTCCAATGAACTTTTAAATACCTTAGCTGGCCATAGTAACTATGTCATACAGTTGGCAAATTCATATGCGGCTAATCAAAACAATGAGAAGCATTCAGCTTGCCTTTATTATATTTAATTCATAGCTAAGAAATATGTTTAATTTAATCCAATCATATTAGAGAAGGAGAGATGTAATGCTTTTTATTATAATTGATTATTATTTAGAAATTTCTTATTGCTAAATATATTTTCCCAATTCTTCAGCAAGATAACAGATTTGGATTTCTAAATTTAATCATTGCAATAAGTCTCCCAAATAGTTGACTAAATAAAAATTTTAAAACACATTTAAGCTAAAAAATTTTTTATTTATTGCAATTGCTATACAAAAATTATTTAGCTGTTTTTTAAGTTAATTATAATAATACATTTTAGAATCAAATCAAAAAAAATATTTGAATATGATTGTTTTGAAAAATATTTATAATGCATGTAATGTAATTTATAAAGGATCAATGAAATTGATCAAACGAAGATTGAAAAATATTGGTGAATATATTTCACTTATGTATACATATATTTATAATAAACTTCAAATTAAAACTCTCTTTTAGTTAAGCTAACTAATCATACTGGATCAAGATAAACAAGATAAACATTTATTAATTTTTGTAATTTGTATAACAGTATGATATAATTTCCCTAATCTGTAAAGAATTAATAATTGTATAAAAATATAAAGGTATTTCCTATATCCTTTATATTTTTGATACAATTATTAATTGTACCCATGATATCTAGTGCCTTATATCACTAGTCCTTTAACATCTACGGTGCCTTTAATAATGGGTTTATGATATATTCTAGTTTGTTACGCCAACACCGACAATTGGTTCCAGTGCAGCTGCAAATATCCAAATAGCATTAAAAATTAATTTAATATGATATATGACGAATTTGATTGACGAATAAATGAGTTTTAAAGTCGACTAAAATCGGTACTCAGAAATAGTTTTGTTATCGACTAGAACATTAAAAACATGGCGAATCGTCTACAGGCCTATTTCATAATTGCCAGTACGTGGAATGTGCAGAAATACGAAAAGTATTCAAATAACATAAATAAATAAATTCATCTCCTTTTCAGTTCTGCTCCTGTCACATTTTTCAAACAATCAAGGGTTCATCATAAACCTTATCAAACAAAAGTTTTATGAAGCTTTAATAATAGCGGGCAGAACGATGCAAGCAATTGGTCATGCGGGAGAGAATGCTAGCGAATATATTAAGAAGCTAAACGTAACTGAATGGACAGCTTTAAAATTAGTGGGAATGCTTGGTAATATTTTTGGATAGATTAATAATTAAATAAAACTCTCGTCCAAACTTAAAAAAAAAAAAATAAAAAAAAATGAAAATAAAAATAAAGCATCGAATCTTAATTGATTTAAATATTTATAAAACAGATATAGTGAAAAGATATGATCTTTACTCTCTATATAACAGAGCAGAACAGATGCACAACTAATATTCTTCTATAAGCAAGCACTAAAAAGCGGAACGGCACAAAACGAATTTAATATAGTGTAATATAGTGCGCTTTAGTAATATTCAATTCATATTTAATTCTTATTTATCGACATTAAAACAAATACGTAACAACAATCCACAAATACGTCTATAACAAAGGACGTAGTTTTTCAAGTTCTTCTTCGCAAGTTTGCTATCTAGGTTTTTCACGAACAATTAATTAAGTATAATATATATAGTAGAAATCAATAATCCTATTTCTTATTTATGTATGTCTAATAAAACTCAAACTTAAATTCCTTTAGCTCAGCCAGCTAATCAGCAATTCCTGGAGAAAAGATAAGACATTATATTAACAATTATTATAATAT